GAGTCATTAAGTATTAAGGACTTTTAGTAAGATTTGCCGTGAGCTACTTTAAAAGTCGAATAAATGCCCGTTAGTTCAGCAATGTAGGTTGATGTGTTATGTGGTAATTCGGATGTGACATACAAGTCTAAAGAGTAGGTTGCATAATCTGTTTCTACGTTTGTTTTTGATCCATTGATATAGATTTGTTTGTATTCTTGATCATTTTCGAGTATTTCCGCTACTATTGTGTGTAAGCGTTCTGGCTGTGTCCTTCTTTAGGCAGCGTGTTAAAGTAGAATCTGTTTCGATGTGTTGTATCTTTCAAGCTAAAATAATGGGTAATCTTCGTGAGCTTGAGGAAGAAATTTTAAGATGTAGTTCCTCGTGATATTTGTTGATTTTGTAATAGGAAAGTTTCAGGAATGACTTCTGAATTCTGACAAAACATACTGTTCAGCCGGTTTGGATTTGGTCCGCCAAGTTCCAGAGAAGACAAGATTCTGCGTGTTGAAGCGACTGGCTGATCCGTCGGCTTGTTCATGACTACAACGCTTCTCTTTCCATCCGAAAACATTCTCCGAAATGTTGGAAATTAAAATGTTGAAAATTTTTGGTCCTTCTGCAGTATGAATTTCTGTCGTAAATATTCTAACATCTTCTGTTTTATTATTTTAACTATATTGGTGTCGGTGTCTTCTATTGTACAATGCAATAATAATTGATGTAACCAGAATTGTACTAAATGTGGGGTTGGTAATTTTTCTACCAGCAGAACCACAATAGTCTCTTCGAAGGACTTGAAGAATTCAAAGTTATAGTTTATGTTTGATTACGCAAAGAGTAGAATAATTGTAGTAATTCTAAGTTCCACTAGTTTTACTTTATTTCTATTCCTAATGTGATCTTTAAGACTTGAGAAAGTATTCTCCATTAGTTCTATTTTCGATGAAGAAGGAAAACTCTTCTTCTAATATTCCAGAAGTATTTATACATTGCTCCACGAATGAGCGTAATATTTTTATCCTTGAATTCCATCTCATTTGTGTCTCTTGATGGAACGTTTTCGACAGATAAGACACATAACCCGAACATTTCAGACACAAAATAATATTTTTCGTCTGTTCCTGAACGTCTCGTCATCTTTAAATTCATGTTCCAACACGCAGTTAATAAGATGCGTCGCACAATTTATACGGTCAGTATCGTCCAGTCCTTTAATTAAGTTTTTACTAAAATTTTAATTGTTTCCTTGATTCGTAACGAAAGTAGTTTATTATCTTCGGTGAAATTCTAAATTCTGCTTCCAGACAACTCTCGTTTTATGTGGTCCGCTGTCTTCATATCCTCCGGGAAATCCATTGTAAGTAGAAACCTTTCCAGTCCTTCAAGTAGTGTGTTGTTACTATATGTACAAAATGTTATCTTGGTGTAGTTATTTGTCCACAAGTCCATCGTTACAGAACACTGTTCATCTTATATAGTTTTCACTAGTTCCAATAGAGGTTTCCGCCCCCTCCACGATATGGCTCGAAACCGTTGTCGAATGCAGTAATATGTTCGAAACCAGAATATTATTCTATTTTCATTGAAAACAGTCTGCATAAAACAAAATCTGTTTTGTAGATAATTGTATTAAAATATTCTCACACAGCACCCCTATTTTGCGAAGCATCCATCATATATTCATCTGGAATTATTTTGTTTAAAACACTTCTGTTCGTTTTGGTGTCCATTTTAAATGTCCACATTGAACTGTGCGTATTCAACATATTCGATACATTCGATATATTTTTATGAAACCACATTATCACTCATTAAAATGAATTAATGAAAGTATTTCAAAAATAAAATTATTAATATGTATATGGATAGTTCCTATTTATTTAATGCCACGTTTCAATTATTATTAGTATACATAATATAATTTCAGTTAAAAAAATTATGAATGGAATGAAATGAATGACATAATGGAAAGGCAAAAATCGTAAGACAAGCATATATTATTTATTCATACATTTAGTGTTACTCTTTATAAACTTTGCAATATTATGCACGTATATGTATAGTGTGCGTAATAGATATACATATATACAATTAGGTTACGAAATTGAATCATCGACGGTCAGACCCTAGTGAAGCCGCAGATAAGTTATCAGTAGGCAATTGTTCGCAAATTTACCCCAGCGCTCGGCCGTTAGTCCGTAACAGAAATTAGAGCCGAGATTGCTAACAGAACCCACAGACCCGACTATGGACACAATACATAAAGGACGGTGAATGAAGTGGACACATGGGTGAGAGGATGGCCTCTCAAAAACGGAAGCGGGAAAATTGCTCATGCCGCTATATTGAGCTCAACAGGTGCTGCACATGGGCTCATCATCGACGGCTGCTTCAGCTTCTGTTCAGTTCCTAGTCGGGACTACACTTGTTTCCACAAAATCCCACATGATTCTTAATTCAACTTTGCGGATGGAATCAAATTTATATAAAGCGGTATTGTTTGTTAATTCATAGATGATTGAGCCTAATGATTACTTTGTACATGTTCACTAATGCTTTTTTGTCTGCTCCCAAAGTGTTATGCCGCTATAACTTTAACTACGATAATTCGAAACTTGCATTCATTTTATTTTTAAGTGTTGATATGTGAGCCTGCCATGAGTTTGTTGTAAAATGTTATTCCTAACATTTTGAGAGATCTAACTTTTTTAAGTTCAGCATTTCCTAGTCGAGTTCGTTGTCTACAAAATGTAGTATATTTTATTTTGATCGTAGGAAATTTGAAGCTCAATTTCGTTGCCTTAAAGCCTTAAAAGAATGTTTAATAAACCCTTGAAGGAATTCTCCTTTTTTATGGGCTCATTGTAGATCATCTGTAAATAGATAACTGTCGGGTAAGTATAGAGTGCAGATTAATAAGTCTAGTGATAGTCGAAGTCCATATATTCCATATTAGTAATAATTTGCACTTATTTCGCTATTAGCAAATTTTTAATCAGTGTAGCTACTCCACCTGCTAACAGTTTGCGAATTTCTGTTGGTAACAACAACTATATAGTAAAAATTATAGTTTTTTATTTTGATGGTTTGGTTGGAAAATTGGTTCCTCATAAAAAAAAATTATGTCTCGTTGGTATTTATTAATCAACAGTTGGAAAAAAGGCAGTAGAGGAAAATTGCCATTTAGTTTCCATTGTAAAATATTTATTGTTTAATTGACATTTAATTAATTGGTTTGTGATATTAAATGAGAGTCATTCCGATCAGTATCTGATTCGCAGTCGGTAGATATTGGAGACGGGAGAGGTGATATGCCGACATCTTGTAACGGTGATGGATTGCATATTCTGTTGAATTTTTGAGAGAGAAGGAAGGAGTAATGTGTTATTATACAAAATAAAAGACAGGAGAGAGAGAGTTTGGTGATAATGGGATGTTATGTAAGAAATGATTTTGAAGAGAAACTAAAACAATTAATCACTTCGCGACCACAGACGTGATATCTCGCGACACGGTATCTGTCGCACGATGCCATGGACGAGTTATCCTACGACACTTTCTCGATCGTACGATATCACGGGCGAGTTATCCCGCGTGTTTGTTCACCAATTTTGTTTCGTAAGCTGATTTTTCTTCAAATTAGATCTCCTATCTCGGTACACAAACACACGGGCATCTAGTCCGTGGCATCGTACGACAAATAGCGTGTCGCGGAATACCTCATCCGTGGTCGCGAAGTGGTTAAAAAATGGATAGATAAGGAAGTTAGCAAAAATATAATGGTTGGAGGGAATATTAATACAAGAACTGGGAAGGAAGAAGGAGGAGAAGAAAATGGAAATGTATCGTCGGAAGACAAGGTGGTAAATAATGAAGGGAGGAAACTTTTAGGAGTGTTAGGAGAGTTGGGGCTCGAAAATAATAAATGCAAAAAAATAAAATAAAAAATGGGGGAATGAAGGTGACAGAAGGAAGAATTGCATAGGTCAAAAGGGGGTGCTCTTTTATTGATTACATAATAAGCGATGAGAATTTGAGAGGAAGGCTGAAATTTAGAGACAGAGGACAAAATAGAATCTAGCGGTGATAAGAATGGAATGGTCGGAATAGGGGGCAGGAAGAATGAAAAGGGGGATAAGGAGGTGAGAGAAATTAAGATAAAAGAGTGGGATAGAGATAGAATGGATGAATACAGGAGGAGGGAAACGGAAGATTGGACAATAAATGAATACACGATAGAAGGAGATCAAAGAGGAGGTATAGGGAATACGGAAGAATGACAGAATCGAGGAGAAACGAATTAGGAAGAGAAGCGGCTGGCTGGATGACAGAACAAAAGTGAAGAGAGCATTATAGCCCGTTCACTCGAAGCGGTTTTTCGACCGGTTTGGTAATTTTACCCAATCGATAATAACCGAAAATAGCGTTCAAACATTTTTATATTTTCGCCATGCATTCCTAACTTCCAAATATTCTAGTAAACGTAAACATATTTCAAGATTGTAAATGAATTGATAGAACAGTGTACAATATGTGCGTGAATACGCTTTTCTGATGGACTCATACCGTCGCCGTTACAAAGAAAGCGCAAAGAAAATATTAAGTACATCCTATAGAAAAAAGTAGGTACTAATTAGATAATAATTATGTTTTAATGCGTGGATTAAAAAACGACGAAACAAAATTTTTTTAATTATTTTCGTATGTAATAAGCGGTTGTGCATCGTCGAGAAAACCGAGCTCATTTTGAAAATTAGTAAACGACCAATTAAATGTGCAGAACACAAACGAGGTAAAACAAGTGGGAAAAAACAGAGCAAAACTATGTCCCGTTGGTTGAAGGTTTCAGGAATTCGCGGGAGAGCGGAGCTCGATGAAGTAACAATCGATACGCGCGCGCCGCTTGGATCTTAACGCATCAGGAGCAAGGGTGACACACTGATGTTTCGCCTTCTCTCTCTACTAAGCTGAGCTCGGAGCTCGGAGCACACGGATATGGTGCGATCGTATGCGTAAGCGGAGGGGCTGATTCTCTTTGACTCCCATACTCCCATCCAGTCAGTCGTGCGAGGAGCGGTACCAGCGACACTCGTCCGGGTCGAACGGTTGAATAAGACCGCCGTGGTCAGCCTTCTCGGCAGACTGTTCCCTCGGAACAGTTTACCCGAAACTCTGTCGTGCTTCGAATTTTGTTGTGTATACCAGTAAAAAACGCACCGTGTGAAACGAAACGTGACAGGTGTCGAACAGTGGGAAGAACCGTGGACCGAGTGGACGATACAATGGATCAGTGATTTTCAACCACTATGCTGAGGCACTTTAATATGCCGCGAGGTTTCTGAAGCGTGCCGCCACTGCCAGGCAGTGGTTCCTCCCGAAATGAAAATTATTTATCCTTTTTTACCTTTCTTTATCAATGGACATGACATTCAGTTCAAATATTTATTTGATTATTTGAACTGAAGAGATAGTGACATTTGTGATAAACGACACGTCGGTGTATGAATTAACTTTGAAAGAAGAAGAATTAATTTCGGTGTGAGATTTAATTTCAAAACATTCAGAAGAATCAATTAATATGTTTTGGATTAATCTTAGGTACGATTATCCGACAATATTACAAAAAGCTTTAAGTATGTTATCCCAATTTTCCACATCTTATTTGTATGAATTCGAATATACGGCTTTGACAAACATAAAAACAAGAGAAAGATCAAAACTTTTAAATTTGGATCACGAAATGAGAGTAGCATTAACATTTTTATGCCCAAATATAAATGAAGTTTATGGAAAGACACCATTTCACATTAAACGTAATTCGTAATTCATGATTAAATAAACATTTCGTTTACTTTGTAATGCAGTTTTCATTTTACTTTTCATTGAAAATCATTATTCTACACTAATTTTACAAAGTATATTACAGGTACATCTATCAATAAACCAAATAAAATTCTTTTAATTTATTTTATTGTTAGAGTGCCACTAAATTTTTAACTTATTAAAAGTGTACCGTGATGAAAGAAAAGGTTGAGAATTATCCGCATTAGATAATTGTCGTGAAGAGGAGGTGGATGAGTGGCGGCAGTTTGACCAGTTGTTTCAGCAAGATTAGCACCTTAATTGGTCAAGCGCGGCATATCGAGAGTATCGGGAGCGTTAACTGCGACATTTGACTAATTCGGCGGACGATGCGACTCTCTCTCCTGCTCGCTTTTTGGTTTATGTATCGATGGTCTCTTTCTGTCTTGTTATATTATTTTTTATCCCTCTTCCAAGTTCTCTCTGTCTTCCCTAATTGTTCCATACCTTCTTTTCCGTCCACCTCCCTCACTCGCTTCCTTGTCTTCCCACATCTAGGCTAATTAACCGTGAAATAATGTGATTACAGACGCGACGACAGGCGCATATATGTAAATATTTACATATTGTACACAGCGTGCACATTGTAATGACAGAGGATGGAAAAGAGGGGTTGGAAACATGACATCGTGGAGAGTACTGTTCTTTTCGTACACGAGAATGGCAATAAGAGTACCTAACGAAGGTTGTCAGCGTGGACCTGAAGGATGGTGCATGAAGTGGACTTACGGGCGAGCGGGTGGCGGGTATCCTTCTAAAAACGGAAGAGGAAAGCAGCTCTGTTGGAGCCTACAAACTGCTGCCTTCAATGAGGTACCGTGTAATTTTGAATTTGCTTATTCGTCTTGAACATGGATGTTGAACATGTGAATTATCAGTGCCGTCATGATATTTGATAAAACGTAATGAGAAGTAATAATTTTTAAGAACATGTCCCTTTTTAGAATTTAGACACATTATTATCATCTCGTTCATGCATGCATAGATGGAATCCACGTAACGTAACACGTGTAACATTTTATGCGATCACAGCACAGATGAGGAGGGAGATTGCTCATGAATTCCGAACTGTACACATATTATGAGGGGAGTAATGGTAGTGAGAATGAGAGCATATCGACATAATGCGCACACCTTTCTCTCGTTGTAAATTAAATAATCTTGTACGCTTCGTTAAAACAACGAGATGAATGTTAAAGATAATCGGATAGAATGAAGTCGCGAAGGTACTAAAAAATATTTCTCTTCATCGTGCAATGTAACTCTCATACAAACACAGGAGGCATTGTGAATCAAATAATTCCTAAAAGTTAAGTTCAACGTTAATATTACCAAGGTTAGTGCGTGTATTCATTCGGTCCTTGAAACTAGTGTATGTTTTGCTCTCTGTCTGTCTGTCTCTCTCTCTCTTTCTCTCTCGCTGTCTCTCTATGTCTCTCTGGAATAGTATAATATTTTTTAAAATTTATTTACTCAAAATTGATCCATAGTTGGATGAAATCAAGTGACAGAAGAGAGTCATTGGATGAAACCTGTCTTACTTTGGCAGAGCGCATTCCGGATCAACCCTTTTCCAAATTCTTTGCATCTTGGCACCGTACTAAATCTCAAGATCAAAAAATTTAATAACCGAGAGTGGAAAGATAAGCACACGTCTTACGGAATAACCCAGTTTGTGGCAGGATGGAAGCGAACAGGATCGAAAGAATTCGGAAGAAGAAACGGACACCTGAATTCCTGAAATTAGTATATCACTTACTTTTACTATTTGCTTTTATACAGGAAGATTCACGACAAACAGAACACCTAAACATCTCAGTTGGACTTAAAGATACGAAGTATGTATACAGGGTGACCTTGAAATGACCTTGAAGCCAGAAATACGAAATAAATCGAATTCAACGTGTCAGGTTTATTTGCTTTATTTCTGTCACAATAAATGTTCGAAATTATTTTCTTTTGTCCTTGCGCATAGGATTCTGCTAACTGAACAAGTTCCTAATTTTTTTCACGCAGCACGAAAAATATGTATTATTATAAAAATATAATAACAATGAATTCATAAGATGTTTTCACGCCAGATACGTAGTCTAATATCGAAATTAAAAAATGATTTTGAAACCTATCTTGTCTTCCACAAACGAATCATTCTAATATCTGAGCCTGTTAATCGCCGAATTTTCTAGCGTTTCTTAAAATCACCGAGATCTGGTGAAATTTCATTTCGGATGAAGTGATCTGTTCTTCGACCAGCGTCTGTTACTCGGAATCGAAGAAGTTGGAATTTCTGTGATGTCAAGGAAAAGAACTGACGCGTTCCCTCGAACGACGCAACAATTACCGTGTCATGTGTGCAACCTGTGCGCGCACAGCGTGTAGCAGAGACTAATTGTAAGAGTAAGTGTTCTCTCGTATTCTCTCACGCCTCACTCCGTGCAACGTTTTCGCATTATAGATCATCATATTGCGTTCAACTTGTCCGCACACCGGACAGAATTTTAAACGGAAAACTTCTGTCGTAGGGCAATCTACATTCTCAATGTTCCATCGATCGATTTGGGATCGAGAAGGCGGGTTGGAAACAATGAGAGCGCCGAGGACAGGAACTGCATCCCAAAGCCGTCGTGTTCGTTCTTTTTTATCGATCCGGCGTCGAAAAAATGTCGTTTCTTTACGAGCCAGTGTTCTGATGCTAAATAATACAATTATCCGTGTGTTCGAAATCCAGACAATCCATTTTTTGTTGTTGTTTATTCATCTGAAAAAATTCCAACACGTCCGTAGCATAACTGGACACGTCTGAGAATTATTTCAGATTTTTTTGTTACAAAATGTAACCGTGAAAAATAAGAAACTCGTTTCTCCATTCAAACAACTAGGTTGTTGCATACATGTTGATATCAAAACACTGAACAAGGTCATAAACAAAGAATAGCACTCGAAGATAAATTAAACAGTAGTCTACACATGAAAACTTTAACCAAGTTCTCCATTACCTTCAACAATTTGTATAATTAGGTTCGAATAATTTACACAAATTACAGATAAACCTATATAAATGAAAACAGGAATAATTTATAAGTGTAAGTTATGAATTAGATTCGTATACAAGGTATAATTTTCACTCAACAACTATGCCGTGGTATACACTTTAATACCAAGATACTAAAAAAGTGTCAGAAATAAGGAAGCAGCAACTTGAGACAAATCAATTATTAATTCATGTAGTTAGATTTAAATAGAATTAAACTTCCCACTGCTTAATTTATCCACAAAATTGATTTGAACAGCGTATACAACTTATCGATAGAACTGCATTAAATTAAATGTGAAT